ATTTCATTTGAGTACAGAAACATTTGGGTTTCAAATAAATTTTTAAAAAAATGACTTCTGTGTGTATTATTTTGTTCCTCAGTGTTCATTCATAACAGTCGTTCAGAGATCGATCGAAAAACAACAGCTTCAGCGCCGGCTGTGTGTCGGCGAATTTCAGTTTTAACTTTCACTTTCATAGCTGGATTTCCCCAGGCAGATTTCGATACAAAGCTAGTTAATTTCTTTTTTTAAAATTAGTGTTACCTGTTATTCTAAAGGAATTACCTTCAAATTTTCTCATTTCTACTTTACGTATATTTCAAAAATTGCCACATAAAATAAGCTTGATAATTATTTCGTTTATTTAGTTTTAGCTTGTTTTTAGAATCTTCTTAGTTGGTGTTTATAGTTGCAGCTATAGTTTTCCCTCAAAGTTTTCACCCTAATATTAAGAGAAAGTAGACATATGCTATTCAGAATAACAACGAAAAACGTTTTGCAATTTACCTGAAGACAGAGATCGGTTGATTCAGCGAAAGAAAAACTCAAAGGCAAGTTTTTGAAAAACATAGAACAAGATTTGTTTACGCGTGGGCAGGTGGCAGCATACTTGAACTCGTACCGACCGGACTCAACCGAAGGCAAATGGAAAATACTGTTTTTCTCTTTTGATTATGTTATAAAAGAAATGGTAAAAGTTGCAGCTGTGCAACCATGGAGTTATGGATGCACTTGGGAGGTTTGCTAAGCGCTCAAGAAGCTAGAGTCGCACGAGGCGATAGCCGAGTGCGACTCTTACGCTTCTTTCGTGCTTAGCAACCTCCCGCGTGCATCCATAACTCCATGGTTGCACGCTGCACGTTTACCATTTCTTAATTCAAAGAGTTGACTAGTACCCAAAATGGTACCCCTACTGTTAGGTACCCACCATAGCTTTGTAAAAAACAAAACAAAAAAAAAAAAAAAACAAAAAAAAACAAAAAAAGGGACAGTAGATATATCTAGCAACCTTTGTGGCATTACAGGTGTGGTATGGAATCCCTAATGAAAGGGTTCCCAAGTCTCCACTAAAATAGTAGGTAAGGTGGGGAGGGAGGATGTGTGTATACAAGGGTGTTGTGTGTACACAAACAGAACAGAAAAGTTAGATGTTAAGATTAGCACTGATAATGAGGGACGGGCAAACTGCAGAGCAGCTATGTCTACCTCAAAGAAGTGCAAAAATTTATTAGGTAGAAAGTAATAATTACTGAAATTCTAATAAGGATAGGATTAAATAAAGTATATTAGTTGAAAAATAAAAAGAATAAGTATTGAGGGACTGGCAAACTGTCAAACAGCTATGTCAACCTCAAAATAGAGTTAGGATATGTATAAGAGGATGAGGGGTTAGAAGGTAAAATAATAAGAGGGATGATAGGAAGGTGAAAGGGGAAAAGAGGGACCCGCAAACTGCAAAGCAGTCATGTCAACCTCTTGGAAAGTTAAAAATAAAGAAGAGAGAGGAGGAAAAAAAAATATAATAATAAAATAAAATATATATAAAAAATAAATAAATAAAAATAAAAATTTATAATAATAAAATGAAATAAAATAAATGATAGAAAGAGTGAAATAAAATAAAATAAATGAATAATAAAGGAGAGACTCCAGGGTAAACAAAGGGAAAAAAAAACAATCAAAGGAATTACTTCAACAACTTTAATGTGTAATTTTCTCTTCAAAAATAATTATAAGTAAAAAACATGTTTGTGAAAAATGAAAACGTAAAGTTGCTTCTTTGGTGAAAACAAATCATAATAAGCCAGATGGTTTGTTAACTGATATAGTAAAAACACTATATGAGCTTCACATAATAATATTGTTGATGTATAGTCGTTCTTAAAAATTTATCGAATCATTGAAATAGTTAAGATGAGATTGAAATATATTCGTTCTTAAAAACTCAAGGAATTATTGACTTTGAAAATTTTTCTTTTCAATAAAAGTTGAAATTGACTCAGTAGTTTCTCCAGTAACCATAGCGACATCTGCAGAGTTACAAAAATTCTGAAATAATTTTAAAAATTGGATAATACTTTAAATTATCGGATAAGATACAAAATTAGAATTAAGTAAAGGAAAATGTCACATGTAAGCTCCCATAAAAAAGGGGGGGGGGGGAAGGGGGGTGAAAGAAATGTACAGGATAAGAACTTTCATGATGAAACTGTTATAAGTAGTATAACTTGAATTATCACAAAAATGTAATTGAAAGAGAATTTAAATGGTTAGTTGTTAGTCGCTCTTTTGTGTTCGCTGACATTAATAATAATTTATTATAAGGAATACAACTTGTAATTTTTTAAAAGATATTTTTTAAAAAGAGAATTTAAAAAGGTTAGTCATTAATTGTTAGTCGATCTTTTAGTGCTATGCTGAAAACATCCAACGGATGACGTGACCCTTAACACAAACATGAGCAATAGGAGCCCGGCTGCCTGGTTAGCTACCCACCAACCAGGGCTTTGAAAAAAAACTGGTACGATTTTGCTGGCTGAAAATAAAACCCTGTCCCAGTTAACTTGTTCAGGTCAGTAGACGATAACATAGCCGTTCGGCTGGATTTGGCTGGTCTCTTTCATTTGCTAAGGGAACTGTGTCACCATAGTCTATTCCCTTATGTCTACAGCTTTTTATTACACCTCTTCAAGAAAGAATTTTGAAGGGGTAGGTCATGCCGGTGACGAATAGGTCAAATTTCTCCAAGCAAATAAATAAGTATCGCATTGCATTGTTTATAGCGGAGCTCCACGCGTGCGCGGAATTCAGTTTGCTTTCAGTATACGGCAAACGTTGAATGAATTGAGAAAGACATTTTATAAAGCATCCCTCGAGAGCTTTGCTTTTGGCCTGGCTAAATCTATACATTACCTGCTTTATACCACGCTCGATAGCTCTTTGCGTGAGAGTTTCAGGGCCCTCAACTTCCGTGGCCGTGTCCCCAGGTCCCCAACTGTTTGAATATATGTCAATTTTGTCGAGTTCATGGGACAGGGCAAATGCTTGTCTCGCATCGGTCAACCGGACATGGTCATCAAAAATGCGAATACCTTTAGAAAAAGAAAGGTGCACATACACTGTTAAAAATAACCTTCAATCATTTTTATCTTATTTTGGCACTATATAATTGCGTTTGACGTGACTGCTGGTACTGGTTCTAACCTCAAACTCGACATCTAACCACTTATGTTTGAGCCATACTTTAATTTCATTTTCAATTTACGGTTATAAAATCTCTCTTCTCACACACCCTGCGTCCCTCATTTTCAACCACTATTTTAGTAGGGACTTGAAAACCCGTTCACTAGGTGATTCCATACTTCGACACATGTAATGCCCCCCCCCCTTCGAGGGGGGTACTCCCATATATGAAAGAGATAGGCATGTCCTGCGCGATAGGGTTCTCCACCCTTAAATACGGTATCGTTTTTGCCCTTGTTAGCGTCGTGTTTCTGGTGTGATCCCTTCATACGGTACCGTTATTATATCAGCCAAAATTCAGGTGCGTTAACGCCCAGGTAGAAGAGCAACAAATTGTCTTTTAAAACTGAACTATCCCTTATAGTAGTAAGAAGGCAATTTAATGAACGTTTGTGTGTTACCATTAATTTCTTAGTTTTTTTTCTCCCTTGAATAGGGTGTCAATTTTTGTCACCCTTAAATAGGGTCTGGGCTTAAGACCATGGGCGGCACGCACCTACCTAAAGTTGTCAGAATGCTAGGTGAATCTACTGTTATTTTTCTATTTTTATTAACTTTTATTATATTTTTTTGCACACAGCGAAGGTGTACAGTATTTTTGGCGGCTTGAACCTAACCGGGTATGTGCCGCTGAACAGGGTATGGTTTTCAGGGTCTTGAGTCTAGAACAGGGTATACCATTTCACTTTTTAGCGTCTTGAACAGGTTGTCTTTTTGGACCGGAAGCCTTTAAAAGAGTATGAAGGTTAGCGATGAGTGGCCTACATTTGGGGTACCGAGGTTTTTCCCAAAAAAGTATAAAACCATAATGTTAGTTTTAAAAAATACATAATACCGAAGGTGAAACTAAATGAACCAGGATCATGAAATAAGCCATCTACATCAAGCTCAAGCTTCCTACCCGGAACAGAGATGGGAGACGGTACAACCTCTCCAGTGCATGGGACAACCCTCTTCTTAAAACGCAGAACCGGAAGGGGGGCAAACCCCAGGGCCTCTCAACAATGAGGCGTCGCGAAATGTCGTCTGTTTTCTTAGTCTAAGCTTCTACGAGCAACACAAGCAAGAAGTTTAAAGATAAGGCTTCGTTCCACTAATTTTGACTATTCATATTGGACATAATTTTAATGTAAAGTATGAGTTGTGTACTATGAAGAGATAAGCAAAACCTGCCAAAAAAAGGCCATATAAAAATGGTCAAGAAAGGGATTTTTCAATCAAAAGAAACTCCAACAGGAGAGATGCGTTCCACAATACGTTTTGCTATTTTGAATTTTTCTCTCTCTCTCTCTCTCTCTCTCTCATAATCTTACTATACACTGAAGAAAACATAAAAATAATTACCACATGCCGCTATAAAGATCGTCACAATGAATTATGACAACTTGACGTAAAAGAGAAATTCATCACAAAGATAAATCAAATCGAGGATTTCAACTGACCTCAACGAACTTCACGCAACCGAAAACGCCAAACAAGTTCCATATAAAAAGGCAATGGGCGTGCAAAGAATTGTGGTAAAAAATCTGTTGCATTGTGGTTAAAAACTAGTGTACCTAATAGGTAAAAGAGTGCTGCCGGTGTTAGTTCAAACAACTTTATTGAATATCGTGTACCGTGTATGAAAAGAGCAGCAATACCTTATAATATTGCTCGCTCGCTTCACGCTCGATCGAGCGGCAGCAATGAACCGGTCTAAAATTGGGGTTCAAAGGGACGATTCCTGTTACAGTTACAGCGAAGCGGTCAAAATACCTCATGCACGTTATACGTGTCTATGTTTGGAACGACTTAGATTGCACAGTGTTCTCTGACTTTTCTAAGCCTAAGATATCTTTTGTGACAAAATAAAAGATTCTTCTAACAAATACTCATACCCTTCTGTACTGTGTCAGTGTAATAAATAAAGCTCTTAGACCTATTTGGTGAAACTGTCAGTGAAGAAGACAATCACATCAACCTACCTGCAATTTGGGCGTTGTATGCAATTCCCACGCCACACAAATTGTTATTAGCCACTCCAGCTATAACTCCAGCACAGTTGTTACCATGTCTAGGGAAAACAGACACAGACGTGTGCGTTTATGGCTTCCATGCACGCGTGAACGCCGGGATCGAAAACCGACATTTTCGAACACAATCTCGGTCCCGTTTCTCAAAAGTCTCTGTAATTAACGGGCCCGGAAAGTCTATGTTCCAATAGCTTTTCGGATAACACAATAAAACTGTTGGTTGACAAAACAAAATAAAATTGCTTGTAAGCTAGGATCCGCGCTCTTTTTTTATTTGATTTGAATATTTGATGTTGGGCACGGGACTTTCGAGAAACGGGCCCTTCGAGTAGAAAAAACAAATTCATTCATTAATTTTCTACAATGCACGTCTTAAATTTCTCACGGCCGCACAAAGCAAAGCAATTCTTTGAATCTATCAAGAATTCTCCCAACCCCTTGAGTGTTCTTACCTAAGGCTAGGCAATTACAGAAAAAAGGTTTTCTATTGCTTTATAAATTAACCACAAACAGGCTCCTTATGAATTGATCGCCTTCTCATTTATTATCTATCCTTTAAGCAAGCTTGACTGAACGCTTTAAGATAGGTTTTTGCTCTTCCTAATCAGAGGGTTTCAAACCCTTAAAAGCACCCCTTTGTCGACGAAAGTACATAATGCAGAGCATTTGTGATTCGCCTTTAGCATAAAACAGCCATATAACTGCAGACATACCCTGAAACTGTGCCATGCTTTGGAACTGGTATTGGATCATTATCCACATAATCACGACTTACTGCAGGATTCTTGAAAAGAAAAAGTATAAATAGTGCCATAAGTTTATACACAATAGAACTTAAATATTCCATCAAACATTCTAAATGAACGAATGATGTTCCTGTATGAAATAAGAAACTGATACAGTATGACATAACCCCCCCCCCGCCCCGGCCTTTAACATTAACGTTTCCCCCTCCCGCTTGGCACCTTGTTATATCAGGATTCCATGGTAATGTAACCACACAATGATGTTAAGCGCCGTGCAAACGGACGTAACATTGTTGGCCAACAACTCCCAACATTGTTAGATGTTACATGTTGCGTCCGTTTGCACACCCTGTTGCATGTTGTTGCGCAAAGTTTGAAACCGGTCAAACTTTCGGCCAACAACTCCCAACATTTCTTTTGTTCTGTGATCGCCGAAGCGTAGCGCAACAATGTTGGATCCGTTTGCACAGTTCTTCCAACATTGTAGGGGCCACACACCACTGCCAACACGCGAGCAACAACTCCCAACATTGTTGGCGCAACAATGTTGGGAGTTGTTGCGCCCGTTTGCATGCAGCCTTAGATGTAGTGAGAGCGAAAAACCTGCCATTTTACATGGTCATCCAAGCCATGCGAAGGTCTAAGCGTGTGGTTAGGCTAAATACCTTCATTTCTCAGTTACGCAGTCAAGTGCTCCATCGACAGAGCCAGTCTTCCCGCGGTTAAAAATATGAATACAAGAATATTGACATTAAGAATATGTTTACTTAGAAATTTGACTCTTATTGATAGAATTGCAAAGTAGTAGCACCTTTGGTCAGCTATTAATCAGACCGAGTTGCAGGCACTTTTAAAAACTCTATAGGGTGACTGAACAAATCAATCAAAACGTGAATGATATTCTTGCTATAAATTTGGTCGGCATATAAAAACAAAATCTGATACGTTGATCTTGGCTCTCACTATTTTGAAGAGGGCAGAGGAATAAAAATAGAAAGAACCCTGAGATTTCAACTTTCCTGATAAGGTCAGTGTATTGCTTTTTAAATGGCCAGGCTTCAAATTTCCAATAGCCCTGGGAAATCCCAGCCCCCAGGCCTAGATGAAAGCCCCATAGCTAAGCAATAGAAAACGTTTTCCCCGTTTGCATAGCCTGATATAAACACAAGAGGGGTTGGGAGAATTCAAACCCGAGACGAAGAAGAGGGTTTGCGTAACTGTCGAGGATTCTCCCAATCCCTCCTCGATTGTTTATATCAGGCTATGCAAACACAGGAAAAAAGTTTTTTATTGCTTTTATAAAATAACTTTCCCGAGAAAAAACGCAAACTCTTTGTTATGGTACTGATTAAAAGAGAAATTCTTACCAGTCGCAAAGTCTTATACACGAAGTCTTGCTCGCGTAATCAGTTCTTGTTTTGCAAAAAGCTTCTTTCCAAAATACGGATTTTTCTCGCTTAAAATGTCAGCTGAAGCAAAAAAAAAATTGACACACCTTCTTTGTGACGATTTTCCAA